CATGGCATGGGGAGCGTGGGGGGACGGGGGATGTCATTTTCCCCACCACGTACTGTCCCCCGGGTGCGTTTCGTTATTACCTCTCTAAGCGAGACATCTGATTGGCTGTGTATGTTTGTCTTTTCAGACGTGGACAAAGATCAGCTGACAATCGATGAAATCCTGGAGGACGAGTCGCTGCAAGAAACATCAGACTTCTGCCAGGTGAATGTTGTCCCTCTGCGTCACACCTCTAAAGAGGACCTGTCAGTAACTTTGCAGCCTTCGTGAATGCATTCCTGACGTGTCATAATATTCAGCAACTAGATTCGTTTTCAGAGAAGTTCCACCTTCTATCATCCCTGGTCTCCAGCCCATTGACTTCACCTAGGCTGAGATGATGTCATCAGTCTGCTGCAGGCAGGAGCATGCATTTCCTCAGTCTCCCTTCCCCCAGTGATCAGTCTGCTGCAAGCAGGAGGAAGCATTTCCTCATCCTCCCCTTCCCCAGTGATCAGTCTGCTGCAAGCAGGAGGAAGCATTTCCCCAGTCTCCCCTTCCCCAGTTTGCTGCATGCAGGAGGAAGCATTTCCCCTGTCTCCCCTCCCCCAGTGATCAGTCTCCTGCATTTAGGAGGAAGCATTTACCCCCCAGTCTCCCCTTCCCCAGTTTGCTGCAGGCAGGAGGAAGCATTTCCTCATCCTCCCCTCCCCCAGTGATCAGTCTGCTGCATGCAGGAAGAAGCATTTCCTCAGTCTCCCCTTCCCCGGTGATCAGTCTGCTGCAGGCAGGAGGAAGCATTTCCCCAGTCTCCCCTCCCCCGGTGATCAGTCTGCTGCATGCAGGAGGAAGCATTTCCCCAGTCTCCCCTCCCCCAGTGATCACTCGCATTACATTGTAACTTTGTAGCAAGTCACATATCCCATGCCATGTATCATTTGTCTGGAGCTGACATCTAGATTACCTCCTATAGGATGGGCAAGGATGGGAAGTGTAGTTTGCGAGGTCCCCACCCACCCAACCTTCCTTTCCTTTTTCTGCTTTTAGAAATGTATCGATATAAACAGGGAGATCATGAAGAAGGAGTTGGGTCTGACGGAAGAGGACATCATCGACATTCCGATACTCTACAAGTGCGACACCCCCAAGAAGGATGCCGATTCTTTTTTCCCAGACATGGTGAGTGCAGGAGTAGAACACATGGGGGATGTATACAACTCCACCAAAAACACGTTCACGGTAGCTCTGTATGGGAAATGGAGCGTTATGGTGACTTGTTACCAGGGTACGTTTTGGTATGTGACCCTTTTTTAGGGGTTTGAACAGGTCCGTGTTCCAGTAAATCACAAGGACTTAGCACTGGATTTAGCTTCATTTCCTGTTTGAGACCGGCCGACCTCAGGTGGCTGGAGGAGCCTTTGGCCAACACACGAGGCTTCCATTCTCATTCCCTGCCAACCCCCGGGGCCAGTGACTTCTTCTTCGAGCCAGGACTTCACCTCCCCGTTGACCTGTTGTACATTTGGGGCCATCAGGGCATGAGGAGGACTGAACCGACACATGGCTGTCAAGATGCCTGGCCGTATAAGTCCATGTTACATACTAAATGCCTGACCTGCTTAAACCTTTACCTACCCAGCTGCTGAGAACTTCCAAGCTCTTCCATGTGCTATGGCCATTATAAAGCCAAATGATGGTGGAGCTAGAGCCACCTTCATTATGGCGACATGGGTTGGGATGGTTCTCTGGCCTTGGCAAAGTCCATGTTATATACCGAACCACTGACCTGCCTAAAGCATGGAAAGCTTACACCTACCCCAGTACTGCAAGATCTCCATCTCTTCCACGTGCTATGGCCATTATCAAGCAAAATGATGGTGGAGCTAGAGCCACCCTCATTATGGAGACAAGGGTGGGATGGTTCTCTGGCCTTGGCAAAGTCCATGTTATATACCGAACCACTGACCTGCCTAAAGCATGGAAAGCTTACACCTACCCCAGTACTGCAAGATCTCCATCTCTTCCACGTGCTATGGCCATTATCAAGCAAAATGATGGTGGAGCTAGAGCCACCCTCATTATGGAGACAAGGGTGGGATGGTTCTCTGGCCTTGGCAAAGTCCATGTTATATACCGAACCACTGACCTGCCTAAAGCATGGAAAGCTTACACCTACCCCAGTACTGCAAGATCTCCATCTCTTCCTCCGTGCTCTGGCCATTATCAAGCTAAACGATGGTGGAGCTAGAGCCACCTTTATTATGGCGACATGGGTTGGGTCTCTGGCCATGGTAGATACATGGCAAGGTCCATGTTATATATTAAAAGCCTGACCTGCTTAAACCTGGTTATAATTTCACCTACCCAACTACTGGGAACTTGCCAGCTCTTCCATGTGCTATGACCATTATAAAGCCAAATGATGGTAGAGCTAGAGCCACCTTTATTATGGAGACAAGAGTGGGATGGGTCTCTGGCCATGACAGATACTTGGCAAAGTCCATGTTATATACCGAACACCTGACCTGCCTAAACCATGAAAAGTTTACACTTACACCTACCCAAGCACTGCAAGATCTCCTTCTCTGTCACATGCTATGGCCATTATCCAGTCAAATGATGGTGTGAAGAGGAGCTAGAGAGGCCTTCATTATGGTCACTTGGGCGGGATGGGTCACCAGCCATGGTTGCTCCTTGGGAAAGTCCATATCGGATACTAAATGCCGAACCTGCTTAAACCATAAATAGGTCACACCTTCACCTACCCAACTGCTGAGAACTTTCCATGTCCATCATGCACTATGGTCATCACAAAGACAAATGAAGGTATCAAAGGAACTAGACACACCTTCATTATGGTCACATGGGCAGGATGGGTCTCCTGCCAAGGCAGATCCTTGGGAAAGTCCATATTAGATACTAAATGCCAAACCTGCTTAAACCATAAATAGGTCACACCTTCACCTTCCCAATTTTGAGGGGTTACCTCCTCCATATTATGAGGATTCAGAAGGTGTAATGTTGCCGATTGTGAAATCAAATGTATTAAATAGGCCAACGCGTTTCAATTATCTGAGTTGCCTTGAACAGGTCTACAATAGAGGGAAAAAACACAAACAAGGGGCGCCTTTCCTGGTGCAGACAAATTTATTAGGAGCAGGATTAAAGGTAAAGATAAAACATACTCACAAAGTTCATGATTGAAGAATAAAAGGTATAAAAATTAGGTCCATGGACCCAAAGAAAAGTCTATGAGAGCTGCACAGCCGTGTCTATGTGTCAGCAGAGAAGACTGTGTGATGTGTGATGACGCGTTTCCGGGGTCACGCCCCCTTCATCAGATACAGACCTCCTCCGTCCCATATGCTAAATAAAGAGGTGACTGGCCAATCGGCAAGTGTGCGGGACCCGTCGGTTTAAACCGCAGCTGTTACAGGGTTTGTATAACGAGTCCTCCGTGGCTTAGGAAATGGAGCCCTGTCCTGTGACTGACGGATAGCCCGTCGTGGCGCTGGACCAATCACGAGAGGGCTATACGTGGGCTCGCCTAGAGGGAGTGGCCAATGTTAGCATCCAATCCACGGGGCAGAAAACCGAACCTTGTTCTGCCAAGTGGCGTGTCGATTGTGCAGCATGTCAGCTGTACAGCAAGCACTATGAGAGGGAGGTGGACTGTTTACAGAGAGCAATGTTAGAACACATACCATGACAAATGTAGACAGTTCAACGTCAGCTAACAGAGGCTATGCATGCCATGACAAAAACAGGTTTAAGTTGTTAAGCAAGGAGTATAAAATAAATGGCACAATATATACATATATATATATATATATATATATATATACACACACACACACACACACATATATGAAAA